CGCACGGCCTTGTAGGGCCTCCCGAATGGGTCACCATCCAGAGCCTCCAGCATCTCGCTGTACGCCTGGTCTTTCGCCGCGCCGATAGCCGCCCGGAGGGCCTTGACCTCCCCTCTGTAGAGGGAGTAGAACCGCTCTTCCTCAATGGGGTCCCGCCGTCTCCGCCGACGGCAGCGGGTGTACCGGCGCCTCGCCGCCACGCAGGAGCTGCGCAGCTGCGTGAGCTCGGCGGTCCACCAGTACACCGGCCGCCTGGACGGGACGGAGCGGACCCTGGGCATTGCCCCGTCGCAAATTCGCGTCATGGCCGCGCCTAACCGTTCTGCCTCCACACCGACCTCGACGACGTCCTCCCGAGGCGCAGAAAACCACGCCTCGACAAGGGCGGCCTCGACTAAAAAGTCCCGGTCCATCCGCGACAGAGACCACCGCGGACCCTCCCCGCTCGGGAGCCGGTCTGGGCCGACCAGGTTGGACGGGGACGCGGAGATGCTGAACCTCACGTAACGGTGGTCCGAAAGCGTCTCCGCGTCCTCGACCACCCGCCAGCCGCTAACACGGCGCGCAAGGACGCCATCGGCGAAGGCGACATCCACAATGGAGCCGCCTTGGCGCCGCACGCATGTGTTGACCGACCCCCGGTTGAGGACCACGAGACCGGTCTCTGTCGCCCAATCCTCCAGCTCCCGGCCACGCGGATCCGTGGCCGGGCAGCCCCAGGCCGAGGACTTGGCATTGAGGTCCCCGGCGACGAGCACCCGGGGGGAGCGACTTCTGCCGATCAGGACGCCGACTTCGGAGAGAAATCCCTCGAAGTCGGCGAGACTCCGATTCGGCGAGAAGTACGCCCCGACCACCAGAATGCCGCCGACGAGGGCCGCCACATATCCTCGGCCTCGGACCACGTCCGCGAAGGCCGGAGAGCCTTCGATGGACCGGGACGTTAGGGCCACTAGCCCGTCCAAATCCCCTATCCATTCGTCCCCAGACGGAACCCGGTAGGGCTCGGACACCACCGCCACATGTATCTTCCACTCCGCCATGCTCTGGAACAGGAGGTCCTGAGCTCTGGCGGAGTGGTTGATGTTGGCTTGGAGGAGGTTTAGGGCCATTATTCGATGGCCATAGCAACCTCCTCAGCCCCAGGCACCGCTGCCTGTGGGGGTGGGTCCGAGGATTGTCCGGCCGTCTGGCTCGGACCGTCCCCTCCTGCCTTCCTTGATCTCCTCCCTTTGGGGGGAGGAACACACGCCTTGCTCCCGGCGCGGTGTTCCGCAGGGGCACCGGCCGCGGCGCAGACGATGCAATGAGGCACCGCCGTGCATCCGCGGGCCTTGTGCCCTGGTTGACCGCACCGGAAGCACACCCCGGAGCGATCCACCACCGCCTGGCACTGGCCGGACAGATGACCTGGAGCCAGGCACCTGTAACACACAGAGGGGCGGGGATCCATAAGTCTTGCCTGGGCGGACACCCACCCAACCAGCAGGCGACCGTCGGTCGCGACTTTCTTCGCCGCCGCGACGGGACACTGGACCACGACTGATCCCAGTCCGTCGCGGCCGGTCGACATCGCCCCCGCTCTCAGCTGGTCAGCTGGGCACCCGCCCGCTGCGGCAACTGCGGTGACCACCTCGGCAGCGGTGGTGGCGTCGTCCAACCCCGCCACCCGTAGGGCCACCGTCTTCACGGGCCGGGCGACGCGGACGACACCCCCATCGAGGACCTCCCGCAGCCTCTGGGCCAGGGAGTCCGCCTTCTCGCCACTGGAGGCGCCCGGGAACTCAAACACGCGTCCCCCGTTGGCGGCCTTCCGAAGGCGAACTCCCTGGGCTCCGAAGTCAGCTGGGTTGATCCTCGCCTTTGCCGAGGCGATGATGCTGGCGTATGTGACCCCGCTCTCCGCCGCGCCGGGCTGCAGCGTTATGGTCACCGCAGACGACCGAGGCGCGTGGAGCTTGTCGACGCCCCTCTTCTCTTTGGGCCGCTTTCTGGGGCCCACCTTAATCCATTCGCCCACCGCGGGCTGCGACTGCTGCTGCCCGGGTGGCGAAGCCTTCTGCTTCTTCTTTTTCTTATTTTTCTTCCTCTTCTTCTTCTTTTCTCCGCCAGGGGGGGAAGACGTACCCTGGGTCGCAGGTCGGCTCTGGGCAGGACCCGACGGGCGATGTTGCGGCATCGGTGGGGCCCTGCGTTGAGTGCCGCTGGGGCCAGGTTGAGCAGCCAGTTGGGGTGGCTGCCGGGCGAGTTTGGCAGCGTAGGTGCCCTCGCCCCTCCTCTTGTCGGCCGCGAGAGGCGGCCGCAGGTTCTTCTCCGGGAGAAGTCTGTCTTCCAGTGAGGCCAGGCGGGCGTTCATCATCCCGCCGACCTGGACCATCACTGCGCGACAGATCTCCTCCACGGAGGGCGTCTCGCTCGGTGTTGATTGTGGGGGCCGTGATGCGGGGGCGGCCTCCATCGTCACATCCGGGTCGGAGTGGCTCGCGGAACCCCGTTTCCGCAAGCTTTCCTTTATCTCAGCGAGCTCCATGCGAAGTGCAGCCATCTCGGCGCGCAGTCGGACGTTGTCTTCCTGAAGCTGCTTTGTCTCTTCCGTTTGCGTGCGGGCCCCAAGGACTTCCACAGCATCCTTGATGGATGCCGCGGCATCCTTTAAGGCCCGCACGAAGGTGCCCTTCAGACTGGAGGACTTGGTGGCCACTTTCGCGATCACCTCCAAGTCCTCCCGCACCTGCTCCTGTAGCTGTGCGGCGCATCTTTCTCCTCCAGCTGCCGGACGAGGGAAAAGTGCGGCCCGCGTCTCACGCCGGAAGCGAGCAAGACCTGTCTCCTTCTCCAGGTCCTCCTCCTTGCTCGCGGCCCGAGCTTTGGCAGCCGCCTTTTTCTCCTGCTGGCGCCACTTTCTCGTCGCTGGGGATGTCGCCCGGTCGTCATCTGTCGAGCAGTCGCTGAGGCGAGGTCTTTTCGCCCCGAACCACTCCGACACGATGATGGGGGTGTCGTCGGAATCCGACGCATCGCACTCCATCCTGCGATTCTCCCTCTCCTTCCTCATTGCCCAATCACGTGCTTCAGAGTCCATCTTCGTAGCCAAGGTCGTCGTTGTATCCGTCAGGCAGTTTTTGCCCCCCCCAGAATACGAGGGGCAGCCCGCGGCCGAGGCCGCGGGGAGGGATTCTCCTCCAGCTAAGCTGGAGGTACCCTCCTGGGGTAAATCGTCTTTCAAACTTGCCATTGCATACGTGTCCAGTGTTGTCGGACACCGGAAACCGCCTTTGATACGGGGTGAGGTCCCCATCCCTCGCGGCCTAGCAGGCCGCCATCCTCCGACCCCGCAGGGTCCGCTGGTGCTTCCCGCGGGCCTGTCCGGTATGGGAGGCCCTATCCGGCATAGCCCCGCGGGAAACACCCATCCACTTCGCACGACCGCACCTAAGTACACGTCGCGCCCTACACCGCCCATTGGGCCCCGTCCAGGGTCTGCGCTAACCGCAGGACCCGACAAGAACCCCGTAGTGTTCGCGGGCCTGCCCGGTATGGGTGGCCCTATCCGGTATAGCCCCGCGAACACTATCCCCTCCCCGGCCGGTTGTTAGCCTCCCCACAGAAGGTGGGGAGTTTCCAGGGTGCACCACGAGGAGGTCACCGGCCATTGCACCCCAACCCCGTCACACCTAACTTAACCTAACACTGGGGGCAATAACCCGCTCAGTGTGTATATAACTAAAACTAATTATTGAGGGTAATAACCCCGTCAATAATACTAATACTACTTAAAACTAATATTGCCGGCAATAAGCCCAGTCAATATGTCCGTCGGCTAAATTCGACTTGACTAGTTTTCTTATCTATTTACAGCTCTAAGTGTTAGCCTAGTTAAAATAAAATAAAAAGTAAAAATAAAATAAATAATAATTTAAAATAAATAAATCCAAATTAATTAAAATCTCAAAATTTTCAAATCCTCCAACTCTCAAAATGTTAAAATGTAAAATGTAAAATAGTTAAAAGACTAAAAATAAAATTTAAAAATTTTAAAAATCTTTCAAAGTTAAGTTTGAAAATCCAAAAAATCCAAAATTCCCTGGAATTCCGGAAAACCCAAAATCCCAAGCAATTGAGGATCAAGAATTTAAAAACCCAAATTCTCAAAATTCCAAATTTCTAAAAGTCAAAAAATAAAATTCAATTACAATTGGAGTTTGGAAAACTTCAAAACTTCGAAGATTAAAAATTTAAAATTTGAAATTAAAAACTTTAAAAATTTAAAAAATTTAAAAATTTTAAAATTTAAAAGTTAAAAATAATTAAAATATAAAAATTTTCAAAAATTTAAAACTGCAAAAAAATAATAATAATAATAAAAATAGAATTTACAATTAACTTATTAACTAGGCTTAAGAACTCTTAGAACTATATCACAGATTGTCTATTTTAAATAATATTAATAATAATAAAAGTTAAAAACAAATTTAAAAATTAAAATAAAAAATATAAAATAAAATGACTAAGTAGAAAACAATAACAAAGTCGTCAAGTCGTTAACCTATAAACCTATAAACTACTGACCTACTTCTCCACGCTCCGATATAGATATTGTATGCTAATGAGGAGCGTGGGAAACTCGATAAGCGCCGGCGTCAAGCTATTAAGCGCC